AGAGATGAAATCGCTGTCTGAAATTTGCTGCCGCCCGCTTATAGAGATAAAGTCGCGCGAGAGAGAGAGAGAGAGAGAGAGAGAGAGAGAGATTCCAAAAAAAAAAAAATATATGCTCTGTTACTTAAATTGTAACTTTGCGATATTTACGGTTGTGCCACTGTACTTCCGTAGATCATAATTTCTTCGTTTTAACTCCAAATTGAGCCAACCCATGTCTACGAACTCGTATTCATGAGCTATACGCAACGGTGCTACTCAATTCCCCAAATTCCTTTCCAAACAAAAAGTGACTAAAGTACCTCTACTCCAAAGGGTAAAAATATAATTACACAATTAAATAATTAAATAAAAATAATTCGTTGGCTCGGGGTGTTACAGTGCCACTATTAAATGTAATAACTTGCGCCCCAAGCTATTGACTTTTGATAAAGTGATTGTGAAACTAGTAAGTCTAACAGTAAAACTAGTAAGTCTAACCAAAATAAGTGTATGAAAATAAACAAATTAGTTCAAAGAGAACTGTTTATTACACAATCAAACAAAAGAGACTACCATGTCCAGAAGGTCATCAAAACATTGGGGTTTGACTTCTGCTTTGATTGTTGTATGTGATTAAGGCTGGACTGAATGCATTTATACTGGAATTGCATGTTAGCACCTTTAACTAATGGGGATCAACTGGAAATCGATACCAATATTGAGATTGGCATAGCTATAATTAAATTGAGCCATGGTGTAGCTTGTCAAATGGGCAGAACTGGGATCTCTTAGGTCTGGACTGGATTGGAAGTGGCCGGATTAGCAACTGTTGACCTGGAATCTCACTTCATTACATATTCTGCTTGGCTGGGGATCACCTTAGAGCTATTTTGGTGATTCTGGGACATCAAGATGTCTCTGGAAATTTGTTGAGGTTTTCATATTATGAAAAACCTGAACTCCACTTGATTCATCTATTCTGAACCAAATTTATAACGAGAGAAATCTTGTTTTCTTTGTGAAGTGCTTTTTTGAACCAAATTGAAGTCAGAAATATGAGTTTTGCCTATTTCGTTGGAAGCTGGGTGGCTTTTGCAAACCAGACAACTTGATTGCTTCTGAGTTTGAAGACACTGGGGGATCTGTGCAGGCGCAAAGAGGTGCACCTGCACCTCCGGTCGCCGGAAATCACCATTAGAAGTGCTGGAATTGCACCTCTGCTTCAGACCAGCAACGCACATAAGGTGTTCGATGAAATGCGCAAGAGACTGCCTGCGCTGCCTGCCTGCTGTTGTGCGCGCTACGAGCAGCGCGCACATGTTTTTTTTAACCAAGAGCTGCGAATTCGAGTATTCGGGTTCCAACAAGAGCTGCAAATGAATTGGGTGTATTTGGAGATGCCATAGAAGATGTTGCATTGACTTGGTCAACACCTGATTGTAGAGTTTGCGAAACCAGTGGGAGAGATTGTGGGTTAAACAGAGATAGTCAGATTGTCTGCTCTGATCCTAAGGCTAAAAGAAAAGGTAGGTTTTTGAATTACTCGCTGATATATATATATATATAATTAATTATGTGCATGATTGAAAGTAATTAACAACAGCTATGAAATTAATTTAATTGGGAAATTTCGTTTTGATAAATAGTTTAAGATACTATTTTTTTATTATAGATTTTTAATCCAGATCATTTATCAGATAGAAATTTTGTTTGAATGTACGTTAACATGTTAGATACATTTTGAAGAGAACAATTGTAGGTTACATTGAGAAAGATGCTTTTTCTTGTATTAGTAATGCAAATATAATGCGACGTTTTCATGATATGAAACCTCGTCGGCAACAATTGTAGGTTAATTGTAATATTATTTTTTTAATTAATTATGAATAACATTAGTATTGTTTAAATGATAATGATGTTTAGTTTTCCCTCTTTTTTTTTTCCTTTTTTTTTTTTTGAGCTCTTAGCTTTTAAAAATTGCACCTATGCTGAAAAATTCATGGATCCGCCGCTGTTTGAAGACTTTTGAGATTGTCTGATCTTGTTTGGTTTTTGTCAGTATGACTGAGAGTTTTTGTCTTGATTGAATTTCTTGCTGTCCTTGATCCAATTCACATCCTCCTATATTTATAGGAAATCTGCATGAGTGATGATTCCTTAATATATGGAGGATGTTTGCCGAGAGGTTTTTGCAGCAAACAAGGGAGTAGTATTTATTATGACAAGAAAAACCCACATCAAGGGTCAGTTTATGATTATCAGTTTTGACTTTCTGACAACTAACTCTCCTGCTTCTTGTTTGTCCCTTGTAAAATGAAATTGTACTGATGAGATCCTCATGAGTATGGAAAGGAAACTCAGCCTGCTTTTCTAGCATTTAATGGTTATAGGGAGTGGTTTTTGATTTTACCTTTCTACCAACTCCCCAGAATGTCCTCTGTCTTTTTCCAGTTGACGTCTTGTCATTGGAATCACGTAGGTATTGCGGAGAGAGACTCCTTCTCTTTAGCTCTTACAACAGCTGATCTGGCTTTGAATTGGTAATCAACGGTGATGATCAAACCTTGAGCCCTTGGAAATATAATCTGGAAACTGGGTAGGAATTAAACCAATTAAATCTGGTATTTTTTAGATTGAATCACCATTTGATGGTAATTAACCTTTATCTTGTGAATATCTATTTATGTAATTGGTTTCATTCCATTTTCCTTCTTTAGAAATGACCTGGGCTTTTGAAATGTCCTGGGCTGACTTCCAATTTTGGTAGAATATAGCCCAAACTTATGTCTTCAATATAGCCCAATAGTCAGATGGCCCGGTACGCAGAAATTTGACCCAAATAAGCAATCAGAAATGGCAATGTAGAGGAAGGCAAATGAGCAATCTAAAATGGCAATGCAAAGGCTTGGTGAGGAACGAGTAAAACTTAGGGAGGAACATGAAGCAAGTTTAGCACGTCACAAAGCTGAACTAGATGCATCTTTCACTGAAAAGGTGCAAGTTACTGTGGTCATGGAGATACGTGGGTAATGTAAATGGATCTGTTAATGCTTTGCCTCACCTGGAAATCTAAATGGAGGTTGGAATACTTTTTCTTCTCTAAACTGTGCATGTTTTGTGTGTTGGCAATGAGGGAAAAATGTGGGAAATCTACTACGAGAAGTTTGGCACCTTATTATAACAGACAGGGGATGTGCTTCATGATGGGGAGTTAGAGCAACCCTTTGAATATAAGTAGTAGTGGCCAAATATATATGTCCATATTGGCCAAGCGTGTACAAAAATGATAGTACAAAACATGCATCTGCTGTGTAAAGATTTTTGGATCATATCGATATCAAGCATGGGCTATGTAAAGTTGTTTGGATAATATGAAATATGCAGCTGCTGTGTAAACTTGTTTGGATAATATAAAATATTAGATTGCTGTGTTCAGTTTTCATTCAAGGCAATTACATAACACTGATGAATTAAATATAGTCAATAGAATAATATGAAAATCAGATAGGAAGTGGACCTTCACAGATAGAGGAAATTGTTCGTCTTCTGTAGAGAGGAAAGCTAGGGCATATGCAGAGAGAAAAACTAGCGTCTCATGAAATCTTTTGGGGGGGGGGAGGGGAGGTTGGATTTATTATGGTCTTTGTTATTTATAGCTCTCCCCTTTAAAACCTACCAAAATTGATCACTAAATGAAATCCTTCCAAATATATGAATTTTTGAATACATCTAGATTTTATTGAACTTTTTTATAATCCGGATTGAATACACCCATCTTTTTATGGACTTTTTAAAAGTTAATACAAGTCCGAATTGAATACACTCAGACTTGTAGAAACTCTTTTAAAGCTCGTATAAATCCAAATTAAAGACACCTGAATTTTTAAAAATCCATTCAAGCCTCAAGTATCTCTAACCTAGGGTTTCATAGTAAGTAGGCTCTCTCTCTCTCTCTCTCTCTCTCTCTCTCTCATGACGAAATTCTCTTTCATGGTCGTTGCTGTTGTTCTTCTGCCATGTCTGTCCCATTTCACTACGTACTTGTGTTTTTATTGTCATCCTCATTATACTACCCCGTAAAAGAATCATGATTCTTTTATTACAATCATGTGAGGGAAACTTAGAAAGACTCTAGCATCACTTGAAGATTCATATTTTGGTTGATATGATTCATTAGAAGCCCATGAAGCTTTATTAATCTTTTTCATTTTCTTCTAAAACGATAAGGTTTTTCTCTTCTTCTTCCAAACATTCTAAAACTAGGCTAACTTCCACAAAAGTTGTCATTGGATTAAGCTAGAAAATAAAATAAAACATAAAAAAAAAAAAGGGCCATGGACATCAACAACGTAGTAATTTTTAACAAAGAACAAAATTGGAATAATTATTTATGTCTACTTCAAAATGTTTGGGCCTGATTTTATTTTTCATGGTAAACACAAAAGGGAGACTTTGGAAAAACACAAAGGAGAGAGAAATTTTGTAAAAGAAGCCAAAATGGACAAAATTGCCCTTATTTATTTTTGGATTTCCTAAGGAATCCTTTACATTTGCATGTCTTTGATTTGAAAGTTGAGAGGTTTTTCTGTCTTTTTTGAAAAAGCTTTGGCTTTTTCCAAAAGTGAAAGTTTTTTTATGGCTAAAACTTAAATTTACTAACACAAAATCGAACCGAAATGGGAGTTTCACTAAAACACCTAAAATAAGGGTTGAAATTATAAAAAAACTCAAGCACTATTTAAATATATAAACACACCCAAAACCCATCATTACACACACTCAAAACCCATTTATAAACACACCCAAAAAGTTGACTTTGAGGTTGATTTTAAGCGTGTTTCTATGTTTAAATAGTGCTTGAGTTTTTTTATAAATACATGTCTAGGATTTGGTTTATTTATAAATTTGTATTTTATATATCAGCTATACAAAAAAAAAAAAAAAAAAAAAAAGATTTTTAAATAATTAAAGAGAAGACACTTGTAAACTTGAAGAGGAGGCAGGCGTGCCTTGTGCCAGGTTGTGATATCAGGCACTCACTCAACTCATAGCTTGTAACCGATGCCCTGAGTTCCTGCGAGAAACCCTTCTCCTTTTTCCTTCCTTGTGTCAATTCAAACTCAACGCTCTGGTCATGGAAATGAAATCTTGGTAGTGATCTTCTTCGTCACCCGTTTTTGAGGTAGCGATCTTCTCCAGTCTTCACCCAAGCAGAAACCTCAAAGTAGTAGAAAGTAATTGGCTTTCTCTCTCCAATTAGAGGTTAGGGCTTTCATCTCTCTCTCTGCATCTGCAACTAGGGTTTCAATCTTCAAGGTGACAAATACTCTCATTCCAAATCCTTTTAAACCTTTGTTTCTGTATTTACCTTCTTAATATTTTGTTCTACTCTGTGTTTTAAAAAAAAATATTATTTAATCATGTCGTTCTTCAATTGGATTCAAATCAAAGTGGGTTAATTATGGCTTCTGAAACAATGTTGTTTTTGTTTGGTTGTGCATTTCTGCCATAGATTCATATATTAGCCATGACAAGGAAAAGAAAATCAACAGCTAAGGCCATCGAAATAGGAAACGAAGGAAAACAAATTCAAGAAATGGGTCCTTTTATATCAGATCTTCCAAAGTCCGTCCTTCAAGATGTTCTAATAAAGCTGCCGATAAGGAGCATTATCATGTGCAAACGTGTCTGCAAGGCTTGGTATTCTCTGATTTCAGACCATGAATTTGCTAAGCTGCACCTTGCACAAGCTGAGGCCTGTCCTTTGGTCCGACCCTCTGCCCCAACACGCGTGTCAAGGACCGTTTACTTGCTTGAGCTGGAAGAGAAGTCTGATTTTGACTTGAAGGACTATGTCGGTGATGCTGGCACATCGGAGTGTATCCACTTTCACCTCCGAATGAATTTTGCCAAATTCAAGATCCCTTTACGGAATGCTGACCAAGCCATCCATGCAATGCGTAATAGGAAAGGTAGAACTAAAAGGAAACCTTGCATTAAGTTGGAGCCATTGGATCACAAATACATGTATGTGAATTCATGTAATGGCTTGCTTTTCTTGGCTGAAACATTCTACAACGACCCTCTTGTTGTGTGCAATCCAATAACGGGTGAATTTATACAACTTCCTGAAGCTTCCAAGGATGAGAGTCGAGAGAGATTATCTATACGCTGTGCATTAGGTTACAGTCCGAAGACTAACCAATATAACGTGTTGAGAGTCTTTAGCCAAGGAACACCCAATCTAGTTCGGATGGTTGAGTTGTACACACTTGGGCAGAGTTCATGGAAATCTCTTGGTACTGCTCCCACGTCAGCAGCATATATGCTATTGACATTGCCTACCTATCTGAATGGAGAGCTTTATTGGTTTTACTATGAGAGTTCATATGAGATAGCGTCTTTTGACTTTGACAATGAGCAATTTCACTCAGTTCCAACACCTCCTTTTGAACTGGAGGAATGTCAGCATGTGAGCTTGGGACTTTTGGGAGGTTCTCTTTGTGTATGCTATGCTCATGAGAATCGTATCAATGTGTGGGTAATGGAAGATTACGGTACACAAAAATCTTGGACCAATAGATTTTCTATTAAGACTGATGATGGTGTGTGGTGGCCAAAGGGTTTATATGAACCAATGAGATACTTAAAAAATGGGGGTTTGTTGATGTTTAACCATTCTACTGTCACTTTGATTTACTATCACCCAAGAAACTACAGATCGTTAATTTATCTTAAGCTTCGTGGGTTTAGTCCATATTTTGAAGCAATTAGTCATGTTCCAAGCTTCATTTCTCTCAAGGACATTTTGATGGGCAATGATGTAGAAGTACTCAATATAAATTCAAGGTATGGTTGTTATGGTTTTCAATATATTTTTACCTTTGAATGGTTAACTTAATGTAGATTTGCTGGATTTGTGGTAGTTGGTTTTTCCTTTTCCTTTTTTGGTTCAGCATGCCCTAGTTACCTCTTATGAAGAGTTGTATCTTAAATATTGCTTAACATCAGAAGAATTTATATGTGGATGAGTTTGTTTGCTGTTATGATCCAAAGATTCATAAGTATTTCAGCATATTTGTGATTTGTTTCCGGAGCTGTTTGAACTATGTTGTCAATGCTTTTTATTCAGTCTTCAATTGTACATGAATTGAATTTTATTCTTTGTTGGTTAGAGAATGGCCAAGTGTTTCTACTTTATTGGCACATGTAAATTGCACACATGCACATGCAAGCAAATTATTCAAGCGTTGGTCCTATTTTTTTCTGTTTGGTTGGAATTCATTACTTCATCTCTCTCTCTCTCTCTCTCTCTCTCTGTGTCTCTTAATTAATGACACAGTTTACCGTAAATCTTTTATTTAAAACGTTGGTCATTGCATTTTTCATTTTAAAAACGTTGGTCCTTATATGCATGAAACTTACATTTGAGGAAGTAGGGTTCACTGTGTCGTATACATATATATGGTGTTGAGATTGCTTTCACATATCTCCTTGTTGCTGTAGAAGCAGGGCAAGATGTTGCACAAATTTTTCATAGTTAAGCCATTAAGAGACAATATTATCTTACCACTCTGTTTGCATTTTGCCAATATAAGAAAAGTTCTGTACAGGAGTTGCTGCAATGACAAAATGCCAACATTGCACATACTGGTGTTTGTACAGGAGTAAACTTGAAAAGAGAATAATGATAGCAACCATAGCTTCTTTCCGTTTTGTTTTTCCCTGAATGGCCTTATAAAATTTGAGTATTGTACCTTAAATGTCAGAAATGTTGATGCAGGTGTGCAGAGTGCAAGCTTCCCGGCGAGACTAGAGGTCTTGATTTGGTGAATTTGGATGCAGACGTGGCATCAGATGATCGTTCTTTTAAGGAATTTAGAATGAAACAGGGATTCTACCGGTGGCAATAATGCAGCCTTACAGTGGGCTAAATAACTTCTCATGGAGTGGCAACTTTCAACCTACATCTGGAGGGTTTGAGTTTTTGAGTTTGAGTCAAATACCCTGAACCTCGCTTCCCCTCTAACCTAAAGTTACCAGCTAATGCATTATTGTTGTAAGTTACATTTTTATTTTTGATGTATTTTTATTTTCTATAATAGTTTTGGGTCAGAATATTAGTGGTCATGTCTATGGAAGGACACAAAATAAAACTTGGCTTATTAGGTGTTCTTATCATCTATAGCTTCATTGATTTTGAAATTTAAAGAGATTAATTATCTAGGCCATATATCCCTCAAACAGAAATAAATTACTCCAGGCAGACACAATATTCATTACAGTAATTGCTGGAAGATTCTGTTTCCTTATTGCTATGCCCGTGTTTTGGGTATCTAAAGTTATGTCCTGATAGACTTATATTTAATCATTTTCCCAGCATAAACCGTAAATACTAAACCCTAAACTCAGAATGTTTAACTCTTAAAAGCACGAAATAGGTTGGATATAAAAACAATGAGACAAGTACCCAAAACATAAACATAGGATCCTATTTCTTTCTATTTTAGGGATCAAATTAGGTGTTACTGACTCTGGTATGTTTGTTTGTTTACTTAATAATTTTAAGCAAACAACACCTCCTTTTCCATTTATGCAAAGAAGAGACTAATAAAGGGTAAACAGGCAGGAGATATTCAAATTATAGCTTTGCCTGTAGTCGTAATTGAAATACACTCCCCCACTAATAATTAGTCAAACTCAATTAGAGGAGCTAACTGGATGTTTCTTGTATAGTCTTCGTCTAGATATAATCTTCTACAAGTTATAAACATTGACATAGGGAAACTTAGAGATGGTTGCATTTGTCCTGATGGCATTCTCTCCTCATCAAAGGCAACCGAGGGCAGGTCTCTTGGAGTTTTGACCCTTATTATCCAGATCCTCAGATTATATTGGTGTAAAATCTGACGTACTGGTACAAGTATGATATGGTACTTGGTGTAGTGGTATGATTTTAGCCCTTGGGGAAAAAATAAAGATTGGGGTAATTTTTTAAATGGAACCGAGAAGCCATCTGTATTTCTTTTATGGAAGCGATAGCGGCAATGTGTAGAACTGATAGAGGGAAGGATGCAGAATTTTAGGAGAGAGTGTCGTCCATTGATAATAGAATAGTGAGGATAGCATGGGCAAGTCTTATTTGGCGATCCCTATTGCAAAAATCTTATTTGTCTGCAGCTGGGTGCATTTATGGAGGATGATGAGAGGCCTGGGTTTGGATGGGAGTGAGAAATTACCAGTTAAGTTAGTGAAGCAGTGGAAAGGACTTGACGAGAAGTAGAGGAGAAGAGAGAGAACCAGTACAAGGCCGGTTTTGTTATGTCATTATTCAAGTTTGTAAATTGAGTGACACCTTGGCCAACTTTAAAAGAGAATTTTTAATGTACAAATGTTAACAAATTTTAATCACAAATATCTGCTTGAAAACAATGTTCCAAGTCTTAACTTACTTCATATTGATAGTGGATTTTCTCTTGCTGGCATGGCCCCCCAGTTTTCCCCTTGATGGGTTTTCTGGGTTAACAAATCTTACAAAGTTGGCACATCCAAAAATATTTACTTTGAGTTGAGCTGCTAAATTGGTATTCACACTAGATTTGATCAGTATTTCTTGATATTTTCATAATGCTTCTTATCATCAGTCCTTTGTGGAAACAAAGAAATGACTGACTGTCACCACAAGTTGATATTCTCTTTATAGGAATGTTATATTACAACTCATTAGTTACTTCAATTAGTCAGGGTTATTCTTTGCATTGAAAATGTTATAACTGCAGCTTTGGAAAAAGTTTATAGCTGTTATTTGATTTGGACTTATATTTTGGTGGTTCAAATTATTTAGGATAATTCCTGATTTTAGTCAGGTGGTATACATTTTCTTTTTCAATTAAGATTTTCCTATTGCAGCTAGATTTATTTATTTATTTTGAGAATAAGGTAGATTTCATTCCAATAGAAAGCGGAAACATGGGGCGTGTTTTGCGTGGCCTCGTTAAAATCTTGTTGGAGAAAAACACATGGGAAAAACCCCGGGGTAGGAAAGAGTACCATACATGCCAAAGGAGTACAAATCCAAAAACAAATTACAAAGTATCAACTAGCAGAACATCCTGAAGGAAATCCAGATGCCTTAACAAGGTGCCCATTAGCAGCCCTCCCCGCATGCCTTAACCAATAGTGTTTTACAGTCTTCAATTAAGCCTTCTCTTACTGCTAGTAACTTGGCATGCATGGAATTTGAGACACCATTGAGCACTACCAACTTGCAAGCAAGAAAAGAGCCTGCATGGTTTCGAGCCATAAACCCAATCCCACCAAGACGTGATGCAGCGTGAACAACCCCATCCGCATTGATTTTTACAGCTCCAGTGGCAGCCGCTGCCATTTAGCTTTGACCTGTGAAATGTAGCACTTGGGAGCTTAAAGGAATTTTCTGTATGCAGTTCACCCAAAAGCATCTTTGGGCTTTTGGGTTTTGATTTGTCTCTCGTGATGATCGATCTGTGAAGAGGAAGGTGGATATGGTGGGGTGAAGGAGAAGAGACGAAGGAATGGCTCTTCATGGTAGGAGGATGGGGATTTAAATGCAGAGCGAAATGGGGCCTGTTCGTACAATGACCACTCTCATTGTTTCCTCCATTAACATTGTTGTTGCTCTATATGTTCTTCGTTCTCAATACGCTTCTCTGGACATCTACTGCAATAGAGATTCACGTCCCATTCCGTCTCTTTCTTTCTTTATATATATATATATATATATATATCTCTCTCTCTCTCTCTCTCTCTAGCTTGTGATTTTATAAGCTTTGTTCAAATCTTGTTGCTTTGAATGGCCCACTAGTTTTTGGAGGTGTTTTTCTGATAACCCAGTTGCAAATGATGACGTTTCTCAATGTTGAATGCTTGGTTAATTAAGGAAATGTTCTGTTAATATATTGGTTTTTCACTTGAGTACACTCCTAATCAGATTGGGAAAATGGAGGAATCACTTTGGATTCGAAAAGCAGCTGAACCGGTTGAGCTCATTAGATTGGTAAGATGCATTTTGAGTGTTTCGGTGGTACATGTGTTGGATTGAAGTGGTAGAGCGATTTGTTGTAACTTTTTTAAGTTAACGGAGGACTCTTTCTTATGCCCAAAAGGTAAAGGCACTAAAGAAGGAGCTTTGCAGAGAGGTAGTGGTTGAATTGCCACAGCCTTTGAAACTGAAGATAACCAATGAAATAGTTGAGAGGTTAAAAACCTTGAGGCCCAAAGAAAATGTTACTGAGCAGAGAGGTCAGTGCGCCTCAATTTGATTTCTTTAGCTTATCGTCTTTTGTTTTCTGTATTTCAAGGCAATTTTTGTTTTGCACTAGAATAGTTAATTGTCATGCAATTGTGCCTCCCCCGTTTAAACCACAGAGCATCTTACAGGGACTGACAAATCTGTACTTGAAATTGATAAGATTATGAATTTATGTTTTCTTCTCTATTGAGTTTTAGTGTATGATATCTGAAACTAAATTTCTCGACATTGATGACAAACTCTGAAAGCTTAGGAAATATTGTATCATGCGGCTTTAGTGGGGTCAATATTGAGAGCATAATTGATGCCACTTCTTCCTCCTCTTTTCATTATATATAGTCAACAGAAATTTCCTTCTACATCCTTTAATTTTCTTTTTCAGCAAGATTGGCACTTTGTTCTAATATTCAGTGCTTCTTTCACTTGTACCTTACAAGTTTATAACATATTCTGCTTAACAATGAAATGCTGCTAAAGCTTTACTCTACTCATTCTGGAACTTAATTGCATGTAAACCCACTAATATTCTCCTAATAAACTGCTGTTCCCATTAATTTGTTGAAAGATGTTGCAAGGAAAAACTAAAAAGAAGCTAAGCAGTTGGCTCTTGAGACAGAGGCGTCAAATTCCACAGTTCGTCATGAGGAAGCAGGTGTGGTCATTATTTGTGAACTGTGGGTTTTTCTTTTTTGGTCAAAATAATCTTATTTGTCCATGACGCAGTAGCCCCCCAAATTCACATTCTATTTTCCTTTACAAAACTCCAAATGTCATGATACTTGTCTGCTAGTGTTGATAGATGTATTATTATTATTGTTCTGTTAGAGACTTATTCCATATGTTGATGTATATATTCCTTTTTTCTCTCTAGAAGATCAAATTTTGCCTGGCAGGCCGCCTCTGCCTGAATGCCATGTGGAAGTTCATACAGATTCTGATGAATCTCTAAATTAAGATACAAGCCTTTGCTTTAGCTTTTCACCGGTTAGGGTTTGCTTGGATCAAGCTAAACGTGCCAAGCCTAATGAAAAGAGATGTAATATATGGGTATACTGCCCGTTTGAAAGTGGTTGCCATTCTCCGGATATTTATGGGCATAGACTTGGACAGTGCTGGCTGAAATACGTAAGAATTAAACCTCTATTGGCACATTCATTACTTTTTCCTTTAATCTGTGTTTCATCCAGATGAGTCTCAATTATGTGGAACAATTCTTTGTAAGAGAGAGTGGGGTGGAGTTACTGAAGGTTAAGCTACGCCCCATGCTTGTTTGTTCACAAGTCATTTTTTGTAATACGGATTGTCATCGTATTGGTGCTGACCGTTCAAGGTGAAGAAGTCTTGGTCGGAGGCAAAGTGAGCTTTGTTGTTAGACGTTGAAACTTACCCTGTGAATTATACTCTCGTATCTTTTCTCTAAGGGACCGGTACAGATATTCACTCTCTTGTTTCTCAAGTATCTTTTGATTTGTATCTTGGAGAAGTAAGATGAAGATGCATGTAAAAAAATAAAATAAATTTCCAAATACTAAAAGCTCGAACAAAAATTCTTTCTACCAATTACCACAGTACAAAATTGAGGGGTTGCAAATCTGCTAAGAACTAACTAATATCTCAACTCGACCGAAAAAAAAAACCTTAAGTAATACAAAATTAAAAAGAAATAAACAAGTACACCAGCAGAGCCAGTACTAGCTTCACCTTCACCATTGATAGCTTGGAGCTCGAGCCATCTTTGGCATCTAAGTGCAATGTCGGATGAGGAGGGTCTGAGTTGAGAGTTGGAAGAGGGGGGATACTCTGCTCGTTCCTGAAGAAATTTGCTGGATCAACAGCAGTCTTTACCTTCACCAACCTTTCAAAATTGTCATTGAAGTACTTCAAGCCATACACCTTCCCCTGTTCATAGCTTCTATTACCAAATTTATTGACACCGATGTCAAGGTCCCTGTAATTCAAGAAAGCACTCCTTGGGTTCTTGGACACAAATGGGGTCATAAACCTGAAAAGTCTCCTGGTGTCTCTGGTATAATTCTTCTCTGCTTCAGCCCCTGCTTCCCCCCAGCTCACTGAGTACTGAACTTTGAACAAGCTCCCAGCACGGTGTGGAAAAGGGGTGGCAGAGGCCGGAATCCGACTCATCATCCCACCATATGGATTGAAAACCAAACCTATTTTGCCTATTTCAATCATCTTCTTCCACACTAACTCCAACCTATTTTTGGAAATTGGGGTTTGAACATAATCAGACTTTCTTTTGAGGAAATTTGCATGATCAGGATTTCTATCAAGCAACACATCAGGGGAGGTCCCATTATCATAGTTAGCCCACCAAAGCACAGACTCAATCCAGCTCATCTCCTTACAGTCATCCTTCTTCAAACCTAGCTCAGGAAACTGCTTCCCCAACAATGACACAAGTTGGTCAGCATTGCCTAGAAACTCAGCCATAATTGTGGCCTTAACAGTGTTGCTCCCCGGCTGCAACAGCAGCCTCATAAACAGGCCATCATCTGTGGTTGGCGCCACCTCTTGCCACCTTGAAACAACGTCGGTTGCATTCTCTTCCAATGTTCTCGCAGCCTGGAAAACTGTGACAGTTTTTGGGACAGAAATCAGCTTCAATTTGTATGCAACAATGACACCAAAGCTTCCTCCACCCCCTCCTTTAATGGCCCAAAACAGGTCTTCTCCCATGGCTTTTCTATCAAGAAGTCTCCCCTTAGCATCAACAATCTGAGCATCAAGGACATTGTCAACAGCTAGGCCAAATTTCCTCAACATGTTTCCATAGCCACCGCCACTTATGTGCCCACCAATACCAACTGTGGGACAAACACCAGCAGGAAAGCCATGAACTTTGCTCTTCTCTGAAATCCTATAGTACAATTCTCCAAGAGTGGCTCCAGCCTGAACCCAAACCGAGCTGTCCTCAATGTCTACAGTCACAGTCCTGAGGTTGAACATATCAAGGACAATAAAGGTCTGATCAGACCAGTAAGAAAGGCCCTCATAATCGTGCCCACCGCTTCGGATTCTCAGCTGTATGGCAAGCTGTTTGGCACAGACAACAGAGGCTTGAACATGAGAGGAAGCTGAGGGTGTGACGATGAGGACTGGTTTTGGGGTTGAAGTGGTGTTGAACCTTGAGTTTCTGATGTAGGCTCTTAGAACAGACGAGTATGAAGGGTTGTTTTCGGCATAGATTATGTTGGACAATTGGGTTGATGATGGGTTTGTGTTGGTGTTTAGGCATTGAAGAAAGTTGTCATAGACAGAAGCTGAGGCTGCCCATGAAGCAGAAACATGAAAAACCAGGAGAACAAGAAGTGAAAGCATCATCATCCCAGACATTGCTTCTCTCATTATCTGTGTCAATTTGTTGTATTTTGTATGTTGTAAGGTTTTGGTCCTCCTATATATATAAATAGATAGAGACCTGTTTGTTAAGGGAATTGTCAACTGTAGAAATTTAAAATCATTCCTTGGCACAATGGGAAAGTTTTGTTTCCTTTTTTTCCATCAACACTTTTTTTTAGTACCTTTCCTAATGAAAGGGGCGATAACAGAATCAATCCATCTTTATTATGTCTAGTGTTGATAGGAAACCAAAAAATATATTTTCCCTATCTTCAGGGAAAAAAAGAAGAAAGGAAATTGGCCTCTCTTTGTAGGATATGGTGGGAAGGAAATTAAGAACAAACGGGGGCGTTGGGTACCTTCAAAAATAACCAAAACGACACCCTCTCTCACCCATGCTCACCGTTTCATGACCCATGCCAAGCAAGAAGAGCCCTCTTTTCCGCCCAATTAGGTGCCAGACCTGATCTCTCTCTGTCGCAGAGTCCTCTTTTTCCTTCACTCCTATATTTACTCTGAAACTTGTTAGTAAAGGGTTCTTTTTCCACTTCAATCCGTTTTTAATTGAAGTGGAAAAAGAACCCTTTATTTATAGTGATTTTGGATTCTAACCCTTTATTTATTTTATTTTTTATTTCTATTCACGAAGAGGAAAAGAAAATCTGATGAGGAAATCTTTGTCAAACCCATTAGAGAGATGGAAGAGGAAATTACTTAATTCCTTCTTTCAATTCTGCAAATTTGGAGCAGTAGATGATTACTGCGTTTCAAACTTGTTTCCTAAATTTTCTTTACTTTCTGGATTTCTTATTTGATTACCTTATTTCTTTCCTAGAGTAAGTTTAATTTTCTTTTCACTCTAGGGTTAGATGGTTATAAATACACCCCCCCTCCCCCTCCCCCTCCTCCTATGTAATAGAGATTGGAGATTTGAGTTATTGAGTAAAGTATATTTTTGCAGAGATTGGAGAATTCTTGGTGTGAAGCCATTGCATCTTTACCCATCTATACCACTGAACTACCTAAACCCTATCCTACGTCAAAATCCACAGCTTCAGCCACCCAAATACGAAACACAGAAATGGGTCCTTCTATAACAGATGTTCCAAAGTCTGTCCTTCAAGATGTTATAATAAAGCTGCCAACAAAGAGCATTATCATGTGCAAAAGCGTCTGCAAGACTTGGCGTTCTCTAATTTCGGACCCTGCATTTGCTAAGCTACATTTCGCACAAGCAGAGGCCTATCCTATGGTCAGGCCTGTGGATCGAAGCAGCGTGTCAAGAAACCTTTTCTTGGTTGAGCCTGAAGATAGCTCTGGTTTTGATTTGAAGGACCATGATTGTAACCGGTCTCGTGTCGACATGAATCTTTCCAAATATAAATTCCCATTGTGTCATGCTGAGGAGTTACTCGATTACCATAGGAATGGCAATGTGATGCCTAGTCATGAAACTGAAAGAGAGGTTCACATGAAGATAACGAAAATTGATGACAACAACAACGAGGTGGATTGGGGTGAAGGTATCGCTTTCATGATGCAATATGATCACAACAACTACAACTTGGTAAATTCTTGTAACGGTTTGCTTTGCCTGTCTGATTTTTTCGTGAATTACCCTGCTGCTGTGTGCAATCCAATAACCGGCGAATTTATAAACCTTCCCCATGGTCCTAAACATGAGAAGGCAATGACTTTAATTGGTAGTGGATTAGGTTTCAGTCCGAGGACTAACGAATATAAGGTGGTGAGAATTCTTAAGGAACGGACACCTGATCCCAATAAGGTGGCTGAGATACACACCCTGGGAACAGGTTCATGGAAATCTGTTGGCACTGCTCCCTGCTCAGACTCTGAGCTATCATTCCCCACTTGTGTGAAAGGAATGCTTTATTGGTTTTGCGATGAGTGGACAGGTTGTAGTGTGATTTCATTTGACTTGGATACTGAAGAGTTCCAATCGGTTCCATCACTGCCTTTTCGGGAGGGCGGTCGTGATGTGAGCATGGGAGATTTGGGAGGTAGCCTTTGTCTGTGTAAAACTAAGAGTTTTAAAATCAATGTGTGGGTAATGAATGATTCTGGTCCACAAAAACTTTGGATGAAGAAGATATCGATTCGTACTGGTTTTCGTCGAAGGTGGCCAGATGGCGTATACATACCCATGAAATACTTTGAGAATGATGGTCTGTTGATGTTTCATTCTCGTCTCAATGCCTTCTTTTACTATCACCCAGGAAACCACAGTCCATTCATTTATCTTAAGCTTCGAGAGATGAAGAAGTATTCATCTTCTGAGGCAATTAGTCATGTTCCGAGCTTTATTTCGCTCAAGGATATTCTGGTGGGGAAGGATGTAGAAATACTGAATATCAATTCAAGGTAAGGATATTTGAACTGTCGTCTATGTTTTGATTCAGTCTTTGATTGTACATGGTTGACTTGTTATCTTTTGAGTAGATGAACAGCATGTTTGAATTTATTTTTCTAAGTTGGTTTCACTTGCTAGATAGATATTTTGTTTTAATGTCACAACTGTTGTTGATGCAGGTGTGCAGTGCTGAAGCTGCCCGGAGAGACCGAAGCCCTATCTCTGGTGGAAGAAAATGCCGGTTCGATACGCTTCTGACAGTTGAGAACAATGAAACAAGCACACAATGGTGGATGGGATGCAGCTTAAGACTGAGCTAAAAGACCATTTCGTTACCTTAATTCGCTTCTAACTTAAGAGGCCGTGAAGTGTTTTGTTGATGTTACTTTAAATAGTTTTGGATTAGAGGTTAAACTACTTGTCATGTTTGTGGAAGTACATTGCTAATTACAGGCTTTACTTATCATCATTTCTTTGGTTAATTTGGCGAGTGAAAGATTTAATTTCATGTCTGCCCTGAACACAGAACTATGACTGCAAAACTAAATATCATAGTTTTTGTTGGCACACCAAAATCACCCAAACCAACTGAATTCACCCTTTTATCCGTTTGTAAATCAAATTTACATTCCCAAATGTACGCTCTCATAAGGAGAGACCTTTCTTCATCCGAAGTTACTTTAA